ATATCGAAGAGTGACGTGACAGTTTCTCTTGACATTTCAAAATCGCCAAATCTCTGCTGCGCGTTGATCATAAAGAAATAACAGTATCGGGTGAGTCCGAAGTCTCGTATATGTATACACGGTAGATTGGAGAGAGACAAAAAATAAAAAAAGGATCCGTGGCCGATGCAAAAAATAATTTTGGAAGTCCAGGCCGTCGGTCACGCGCATGGACCAGCGTTGACATTGAAATGTCATTACTTCAATTTTGATGGTTTTTGGTCACCCCATGAAATTGCGGCTACTGGTTGAACGATTTTTGAAAAATGGCATAGGGAGACGTTCGTGCCTGAAATTAGCGATTTCATATGTTGCCTGACTCACCCGGTATAACGAACTGCGTTGGATAATATTAATTTAAGAAAGACGTCAAATTATTCTCAATGCGACTGAATGCACGAGAATGCAGGTCCGGCCGAGTTCAAGAGCCTCTCAAACGATGACTTGGTTCAGATTAATTTCGCAAAATGAAAACTCACTACGTTTTTATGCTAATTTCACTATTACTCTGTGAGTCACTTATGACGTATGAGGTACTTGCCGTGCAATACAGCATCCGTAAGATTCTCTTTGTCTCCGGTTTGTAAATATCATTCATAACCACAGGCCGACACCCCATGGATCAGTCATTTGACACATGACCCAACCGTGACTGACTGAGAAGTCATCATGGTTAGTATACCCAGCCATCCATCATAGTCATAGCCATAATCATACGTTCGTGATGCATTGTTCTACGGGCGATACAAATACGTCAGATGAAAAAAAAAATGTCTGAGATTTTCTTGGAAGAGAAAAAAAAATTTTGATAAAATTTTTGAATTTTACGTATTTTCAAATTTCTATCGTAAGAAATTTTATGTTTATCAATTCATGGGGAACTTGATGCGCCTCCTGTGGCTTATATAATATTCATTGCAGAGACCCAAGCCCCCGAGACACTGTGGGTTGGTTGCGGGATATTTTCTGAAATCGTTATTGGAGTCGCAGCTGACTCTGCTTTATCTACCGTGCATAAAACATTAAGCGATATTTATTCGCCTTCGCGCATCCCGATTACACGCGTGACTTTTACCTACGCTGATGTATGTACAGACTGTATAATCGAATATTCATAGTGACTGTGACTGACCGAAAGTCCGTAGAAAGTTTTTACTTTTGCGGATGAGTGTACCTGGTGTAAATATATATGTTGTATATAGGTTGTATATACTGTATATTTATGTACTGGATATATCTTGTGTACTGTCCTTTTAGCCAACGCGTGCTAATCGATTACCTATACTACGTGTTACAAGGATCTGACTAGAATGTATCTCAGATAGTTGAAAAATATTTGTTTAATTGAAAAATATTTTTAATTATTGTAATTAATAAGGTTATGTAAATTAGACGTAAACATTTTTTTTTTTATTGTTAGACTCGCGTAGATTTTAGCGTAGTACCTGACGAATACGAATTTTTCTTGGAAAATTTTTGTTCCCGTTGGTCAGATCTCTAATTAATGTCAATTAGCACGAGAGGCATCAGCGCGTGATTAGCTGTTGCTGTGTTCATTACATATTCATTACGGAATGGCGATTACGTCAATTACTGCATGGAAGGAGTGAAGGTTGGCGGGAATGATAAATGGTATGAAACGCTCATTATCATTCCGATCCGAACTATTATCATTTTTTATTTACAATTTTAATTGTACGTAGCGCGCGTGTCGCCTATTAATCTTACCTTTTCATATCACGCGTCTATTTGCACTTTGACAAGTACCGAGAATTTCGTATAATAATGCCATAAGCGCCATCCGGTATCAAAAATCCTTACGTCGGTTCCATTATGAATTCTAGAACGAGCTTCGTTCTCAATTTAACTGTATTTTCGCCCAACTCCGGACACACCCTGTTGTATATCCGTTACAAAGAAGTGGAACAAATAAAAATTCGTTACTTTTATGTACAGGATGGTGTAAAAGGTTTTCGACGTGTCAAAGCTGTCGTAGATTTATTGTACAAATATTATTGCGCAAGATTGTTTTCATTAAAATCTACATCGGTAAAATCGTATACTGAGGTTTAATCGAGTTATCCGCATTAAACAAAAAAAAAACTAGTAAGAAAGAAGCATTTTAGTGAATTCGAAAAAAAGCGCCGTTCGCCAAGCGAGCGAAAGTCGTACTAGCCAATCGCATCGGGCTGCGAGAAACCTGTCTGTCCATGTTCCGCTCGAGTGACGTCAGAAAATGAGAGTTCATCGTCAGAGACCAGCAAGCGTAGCCTCTGCGCACCTCCTGCGCTCTCGTGTGCTCCTGGTAGAGCTATCGATCAGCACAGATCATCGATCGTCATTATCGATGATCCTGCGAGTCGAATGGGACTTGGCTGTCTCTAACGACCGATCGTGTCTCGTTAGTCAATTTATTTCGAATTCATACTCAACTGCACGATACGCTTGTATTACTTTGAGAAATATTAGTTCGTAAAAGCGTCGTCTCTTACGCTGTAACGTCTAGGGTTTTTTTAACCTACAAAATTGAATTTTCTTTTTCGAACGACTTTAGTCTCAATTCTGTAATACGGTTAGGTTTTTTCCTACGGTCATTCAGGGAATACGGGTACGGTTGATCTGAAGTGACGTGCTTCTCGATATTACCGACAGATGGCAACACGTTGGTTGCACGAAAGTTGAATAGGAATCTCGTGTATCCCGTCGTTCCATGAATATTTCTAGTGTCTCGCGTGTCTCCTCAGTGTTCACCAATGGATTTTCTTACTGAAGGTTAAGTGTACTTCAATATCCATACAGACTAAACCCAACAGTGTTCCGAATTCGGTGTCTAAACTTTGTAGATTCACGTAGTCTCGTGTACACGACGTTTTCACGGACTGTGGTCGTTGTTCTAGCGAATTCCTCTATCCAATCCAATGGACTCGTTACGGACACACATCCTCACGCGAGGATGAGGCCGAAAGGCATTGAAAAAGGAAGACGCACATCTCATTGCAGAAGGCAGCCACAAGCAAAGGATTATTAATAGGGATAAAACGTTTGTCAAATTTTTTTAACTTACTGCCTTTACATTTTTTTTTCTTTCTCACAACTCGTCTTGAAACTCGTGGCAGTGTCTAAGGTCGTGCGTCCTTGCGACTTGCGTTCTCCTTCGAAATTATAAATAAAAGTCGTACCCGACAACGAAGTACCCCGCTGTATCCTAAGAAGCCTAGTATCGCATTTCACGTGACACTGACGGTATTTATTTTCATGCGTGACCCTGAAAAAAAGCGCAATACACCCACGCGTTTTGCATCATATTCATAGGATTTTCTGAGAAATAAAAAAAAAGAAGACATGACTTATCGTTCAGTCTTTGTCGGTTTGCGAACTTTGGCTATTCTCGTTACCGCGAAAATATATATATATACATACATTTTACGATACACGTTCGCACGTAATCGTTACAAAACATCCAACTCGCCTTCGCTCGTTCATTCACGTGAAATCTTACGTAGGCCAATTTCAAAATTTCCGCCACTCTACGCGCGTATACCAAATATGTACGTACGCTTTTGGAAATGGTACTAGGTTATTTACTGTCTGTATTTTCAGCAACTTAACCCTGAACGTACCATCGATGGGTCATTTGACTCTTTTAAGGCCAAAAATACGTATATTATCAGTAGATTTAGTTGTTAATACGTCACGTCCAAAATACAAGGATCAACGTCCGCGCCACCCTTCACACCCTCCGATCTGATCCCTGAAGAGGCTGCGTGTAATATATACATTGTTTTTGCACGGTATATAATATGGCTTTTTTATAGTAGTGTGTACGTATACCTCGTACGAACCAGCTGCACTTTGAAAACATTATCGTTTATGTTTTTGTGAGGACTAAGCAAATTAGTATAGTTACGCCGAAGACAGCACTCTCCTCGTTTGTCCATTCCGCTGTCTTTCAGAAGCCTTGTGGACGTTCTCTTTATTTTAATTAGCAACGCTTCTTCGTTACTGACAAAGGAACTCTTTAATGGCTTATCGTCCTATGGAATTACGTTTTTTTTTGGCACATTCCGCTTTCTTATATTTTTTTTTATTTGCTCATATAGTTCGTACACGCATACGCGAGAACGAACTGTGTGAAAAATGAAAGTAACTTTTTTTTTACAGTCGTTCAATTTTACCCGTTGCAAAACAACGATTTTTCCCGGTATTTTGTTTTCGCGGAAAAAAAAATAATTCGCAAAACACGCGTTATCGACGAATTGACAGTCGAATATTACGAAGTCTCGATTGTCACGTGATTGCTCATGATTCGTGCCGATAATATTTACGGTAATTGCCAGAAAGACGTTTCCACGAATCGCGCGTCTATTTGCATGGCAAACTTTTGCCGTTGCCACTTCTGAATTTATGGCAATAACAAAGTACGTACCTATAAGCGACACAAATGTACGATAAGGGTGAGAAAGTTATTTATATAAATTTTTCAAAATCAATATTCCCACAACACGATGATACGCGGACGTAAAAATGGAGCGACTCATTAAAAATAAATTTTTTTGTACATTTAATTGGTGACCTCGATATCGCACGGCTAATTAACGTCAATTATCAGAAGCGGTAATCAGCTGCCCGCGAACGATACACGAAAAGGCATATAAATAGCGTGACTTAGAATCACCATTTTTTAAAAGCCAATATGATAGCCATATATGTATATATACATATAGCAAAACTGCAACAGACTTCTAACGAGCATTGTTACTGGAAATTCTAATAAAAGCTTGGACTAAGGGCGAGTCCACGCTTACCACCCACGAAAAATTGCTAACAAGCTTAACGACCTCACGAACTGCCCTCCGAACGAGCCAGAACAAATTCAATAGCCCAAGGGCGATTAGGACTCTGGCGTTATTTTTTTCTCAATCCGTGACGTCACTTTGCCGCAGTACAAAAACAAAACTTACCGGCAGTCGTCTCACGTCCATGGCGACCAACCGCTCTAGGTTTCCGTGAAAAAAATTTCACCGGTCAAAAGCACTCGTTGCTTTCCACTCCACTGAGCTCCGCTGCTCTAAAGGTCGGCCAGCCATTGCGTGCGCGTCTACAACTTTATATATCGAAAAAGATTGCGAGATAACGAACGGGCGTTTAAACGAGCCGGAAAGTCGTCATGGCGGATCGATGGCTACGAGGAAGCAAGGAATGTATAAGGGGTAGACTCCGTAGTACGTAGTGAAGTGAGCCACTAAAATGCAATTGTGTGAAGTTGTCCCCTTAGACGTTAGACAATACCGAGGTCCTCGTTTCTCTACTCCCTCTGGCGTAACGGGCCATTTTTACCCACGCTAACAACCCTCCATAGCACTCCGGCATTTTACTGATGGCAAACACGCGGCCTTCTCGATTTCACGAGGACGAGAGACATTTGAGTGGCAGCGCGTACCCACTCTAACTATTTGATACTCGATCTACTCGATTAATCGCACGGTACGTCAAGTACGTGCACGTGCACGTTGTCCTTTGCTGACTGTGAATAAAACAGCGACATTTCGATACTCGGCGGTTAAACGTACACGTTGTTCTTGCTAGACGAATATGTTTGATCCCGGATTTTATTATAAATAATTTTTTTTTACTAAGGATAATACAGTCTGTAATGCTTCGTGGTGTGTACGGCTGTTTTATATGCCAAAGTATTACGTAAGCGGTGATGGTCGGGTTATGACTCATCATCGTTGTCTATGCGTCGAGCAGGGACTGTACTTCGTATATACCTGGGACACTGTTTTGCAAATAGGTGACTGGGTTATGCAGGTATACGTTTGTTTGTTCGTTTTTTTTTTATTTAATTTTTTTTTATTTGCATTCTCTCGAGTAACACGATTTCTATACGCCGCCGTACCGTAAATACATTGTGACTGTGGCGCTGGCTCTTTCGGGGAAAAACAGTATTATGGCTTCTACTGTGTAAGAATGCGAACCGGTTTTTCACTCCGTGTGCTTCTGGTTCGCTCGGACTTTTGTGTTACGTGAAATTATATAATTTTTCGTGTTCGTGGGTGACGAGGGATGAGATTTTGAAAATTCGTACGGGATGATACTAGTGACTTTTGGTATGAGGGAAAACAATTATAGGGAGACTGGTGAGCCTCAAGGAGTTTTTTTAGGTTATAAAACCTTGTACCGAGTGCACTTGGCTATTTTCCAATCTTACGCAGCGTCGCGAGATACATCTGTGTCGCATCGGAGGCTATGAAAGTTTTATCAAGCTCGCACGAGAATGTTGGTATGTTTGTTGATGCTTAAAAATTATATATTATGCATTACCGATGAATTTTAATCGCTGATTATGTGACTCTACGTAAAATAAAGTAAATATATGCCGAAGTAGAAAAATAAAAAGTATTTAGCGTAAAGCCATGCATATGCATAGCTTGCAAGATTTTAAACAGTGACACGCTTGCGTTGATAGAGACTGCATTTTTTGAAATCTGTCGAAAAAAACATCGAACCCATGAACAGGCTCTATAATAGATATATGCAGTGCGAAAATTGCATTTGTTCAGATCGTCGCGACGCTGCTGTCTTTTGTTGCGCGTATCGCTCTAGTAATATTTAAACGAGAGAATAATGTTTAGCAACGATAGACGCCAAACACAGCTTAATATTTAGTATTTATTACAATGTTCTGTCTGTTTGACGACGAGAGAGAAAGTACACTTAAAATCATGCAGTAAATATTTTATTAACATAAATAAGTATCTATGACATTCGTATTCCCTTAAAGCATCTAGCAGAAGAAGTTCGGCACGGCGACTCGCGAGCTTCAAATAAATTTCTCCAGGTGGCTACAAAATGTCCTTTCAACGCTTCGCCGAGCTTGAATTTTTCAACGCCAGGGCGCAGTTACGTCGCGACTCTCGCGTGGCCATAAATGCGTCCGCGTTCAAATCGAGGACGCGTTTTAATTGCGCGAAGGAACAGACATGCCTGTTGCGACTTGTCGTCGTCTCGGTAAAACTTAAGGCTGTACGTAGCTGCGTGAGGAGTACGAGGTTTAAAGGAGGTTACGTAGCGAGGAGAAAGATAGAGCGAAGAATAAGGAGGCGACTGTGTTCTTTATACCGGGGATGCGCTTTCGTACGCAGTGGTCAACGACAAGGTACGAAGTTTGGAGATGCGCCAGAATCCAATCGAATGACTAATATTCAATGAAGGATCTTTTAGTTTCGAAGCGACTCGAAGAAGCGTCAGCAGCTACCGTGAAAATGGTCGATGTATAGTATGCATATGTAAACACACATGCATCGGAAGAAAAGCACGACTAAGGTTACGTTTTCATGGAACTGGATTATCGTCGAGTCTTTTTACTGCTCTCTCTGCAGTTGAATATACATACCCGCTGAATTAATCACAATAGCCAAGACGATGAGTCAATAATTGTTAATTAAAGGTTCGAAGACTTAAAACCGATATCACATTCCGATCCCATGATGCATCAGGTGTCCCTGTAAAAGCTGCCAATCCCTTTGACACACAACTGTCAATGTAAATCAATGGACGTCCGTTGGATGGGACACAAGAAAAGTAGACTAACGCCCGATGACGAAATTGATCATGATCAATTAAATTTATACAGGCACTGCGTGTATGAAGGAATTGAATCAGGGCCGAGAATCTTCTTTGACCTGGCGTCGATTTGCCGGCTATTCTAATTCAGATCGATGAGTCTGAGTGAGAAAACGAAATCAGCTTAAAGCCATACCGGGAATCAAATTCGAAATTGATTTTGACTAGCGTCTTTGCTTAATTAAAACGTTGATCGTTATCCGACGTCTCTTTTCTTTTTAGTCTCTATTATCAGTATTTATCAATAGATTATAGACCGTTCGTACTCAGTTAAGGATCAGTTAAGGCACTAGTCAATACTTAGAAATCCTTTCCATTCTCTGGGTTAATTTACTTTCGCAGATTAATTGGGCCTTTCCTTTGTCTTTGATTTTCTTGTCGACTTCCACTATACGTCAATTGACCAGCCTCTAGGTCTGATTTTGACTCACTTAGAACTGTCTATATGACGATATATGTATGTAGACTAACTTTTTGTCTCTCTCTGAAATTACAACCGATCGTTAGTAGTTACTAGTTGGCAGAAAAGCAAAGACGTTCCTGCGATTTCTTTTGTAGGATTCTAAAAGAGGAAGATGCTCTCACTATAAAAGGATATAGGTGAACGGGTGTCGGACTTGGATACGGTCCTTGCTTTCGTATCGTTTGCACAAATAATACAGGACAACCAAATAAAATAATAATACAAAAATCACCAGAAACTTGTCAGTCCCACGCAATATCTTTTTCAGAAGCATCCCTGGTTCAAGGCTGAATAAGAAATTCCTTATTACCGCGACAATGAAAAACAACTGTTTCGCTCACGTATTAATCAATTAATTACATTCCGATTCGTGGCAAGGGAGAAGTGCTTAAAAATTTATTGATTCACATCTGTCATTTATATAGGTTTATCTTATCGACATTCGACAACTCGTCGAACTCTAATATGTCATCATAGAATGTAATGTTATATATATGTGTGTGTATATATATATATATATATATACATACACGCGTGTATACAGTGATATATTTTATATGTATACATGCGTTACTTACATATCGCTACTGGCGATGCCAGCACGAGAGACAGGTACGACTGGCAAAAATTTGTAGAAGGTGGCCGAGACTTCGAGAATTCTCTCGAAGCCGTTCGGTCGTCTCTCTGAGAACTGCGCGCGCCTGTCGTCCCACACACAGATATTTAAGTTGCCTGCGCGCCACAGACTGACAGTATTGCTATCGACCTAGCGAGGGTCAGACTGCACGCCGTTTTGCGCTCCGTATGCTTGGAGAGACGTCTCTGTAAAAGAGAGAGAAAAAGTAATAATAAGTTAAAAGTCGTTGAAAGTGAAGGACAAAGATATTGTCAGTGAAAGAGAGTGGTATAACATTGCATTTGAACTTTTAACGTATGAGAAAGGGTTTGGCTAAGATTTGAGTGCGACCGTAAAGAAGAGAAATTTGTTATCTGCGACCTCCTGTGGTGTACCGGAAGAAAGGGATTAAGCGGGGTGGGTGGGGGAAGTGATCGTCTCCCGAGGATATATTTTTTTCGTCGTTCGGTAACTGAAAAAAGAATAATTAAAAGTGTGTCGCACCATCTTCCCAATTCCTCGTGTAACCAAAGCGCCCGGCATTATTTTTCCTTTGGCGAGCTTCTTCTTTGGCTAAAACCTTTTAACACATCGCGTTGAATTTGCGGGGTTTTGTTTATATCCAAAAAAGCTTGAGAAGGAGAGACGAAGAGTTCGCGGACCCCGGGGTCCGGAATAATGGACTCGCCCGTCATCCTGGACACCGCCCCCGAATTTGGCCGAGGGATCGAAATGGACCGCGTGTTCCCTGTAAGTTTTTTTCTTTCATCCCTTTTGAATATTTTTGCTGTTGGTTCTCTCAGTCTTCCGCATTTTTTTCGTCTATTCAACTCGAGTCTGTAACCGTCATCCCTTGTTTGTCTTCGACGCGCATGCGCCGCGCGTAAGAAATTCCCACGTGAATGTTCGCGGAACCATCGAGAACATTCGAGTGACGGTTGTCTCGAAGTTTCATTTTTTTTTTCTTTTTTTATATGACTTACGTGACTTTTATCCGTTCCATTGTAAATTAAACTACGTGCAAACTACGTTAGGGTCAAAGTTCTGTATCAGACTCAATATCGACGTTGCCGTTGTGATTATTAGTAAAAATTAGTAAAAATAACGTTGCCAAATACTTCGGGGAATTTACATTCAAGTGGTGTACATTTAATTGTGACAAATATCGATCTCCAGCTTGGATCCTTGTCTGTCTGCAATTATAATGGTCGAGAGTCATGATTGAAAATCTTACATGCCAATCAGATAAGTAATAAGATTATGGAATCACGCAAACAAACCAGTTATCTTTAATAACACTTCGTCTGTAAAGGTTCTTTTCGCACCTTCCGTCTATAAACGTGGGTCTTTCGCGTCCGGCCATTATTTCACCCCCTTAATGCACTCAAAAAATTCTGAAAAAATTCACGATACTTTTCGAAATATTCATTTTGAAGTACCAATTGTAAAATTCTCGATAAGTTAATTATTTCATAAATATTTTGTTAAACAAATCGAGAAATTTGGGAAAAATCTTTAATTTACGAAAACAGTTGTAACTCAGTGAAAAATGAAGATAGCGTAATTTTTCAAAATGCAAATTAAAGGTGAAAAGTGTAGCTTTAAGAAAAACCTTATGTCGTTTCGTTTTGTTTAAAGCTAAATGCTTAAGTTTTGGACATGAAAATAGGCAATAAATTATGTACGATGCATTGCTATTCACACATTTTATTAGGGAAAAACGTATTTCTTTTTTCATAAAAAAGATATCTTACATCTATTATACAAAAAAAAAGTTAATTACATTTAGTCGCTGTCATCATCTCCAAAATATGTAATATCTTAGCGTTGACGCAGTACACGCGTGACTTCTTCAGCCGATCGCTGCTCCATTTTGAAAATGCTAAAAAAAATTCTAAACACTTTTTTAGACATACTAAAACAAAATAAATGTATCACTAATTCCAAAACCACGTTAAAACAAAAAAAATGTCACTCACTTACCTGTTTACTACACGCCGTCTGTAAACGTGGGTCGTTCGTGTCCACTTCGAAATCTGCGCACTCGTCACCACTGCCTGGAAGGTACTAGAATACTGAAACTTGGGTGTCAGTTTCCCCTCCTATACAACTGTTTTTAGGGATATACGGGACCCGTCCGCCCTTCCCCTATTTCCCAGGTATAAACCGAAATTGTTTTTGCTCGGACACGAACTACCCACGTTTACAGACGAAGTGTTTAAACACTCATTAGTTTATACGTTCATCAATAATTTTTATATGCCATGACGAAGTAATATACACAATCCATTTTACAGTTATTTTAATATCAGATGATTCGACGATACGTGTTCAACAGAGATTAGAGACATACTTCTCATAAGCTAATGCGGAGCGTCGTTATCGCCACTTTTATTTACACCAAAGGAAGCAACGTGAATTTCTATTAAAACCGCGATTAGTAAGCTCGTGCGCGAAAAATCTACCAGACGCGAAACGAAGATGCGAGACACGAGTAAATGTTGCTATTATATCATCGCCAACGCATAGTTTCCATCGAAAGCGAACTTGTCTCATCCCTCATTGCCGTCCCTCGTAGGCGCGACTGTGTGCCGTCGGAAGAATAAAAAAAAAATACGTTTCGTTGATTTTAGAGCGTGTCCCTCTTTCGTCCCCATGTTCCCACCACCCTCTGAAAAAGAAAAAGGTACCCACGTCGTGACGATACATATTATAAATAGAATGGCAAAAATATTCCGTCATCATACTAGAAGACATACGTAGCCTCCTAAAAATACGAGATCGAACAATGCCTCTTACGCTTTGAGGTTAGATATCTATAGATTTTTTAAATTTATTATTTGTCTCTCATCCTTTATTTACCAATCTGTCATTCGTTCGTCGTTGTATAACCTTATTAGGCCTGACTCGCATTCGGTCTGTTCGACGCATTACAATTCTGCGAATTCGCGTCGCGCGACAGGCGCCTTACGCCTGCCCCGAAGGCTGTAATGGCGCGGTCGTAAACTTTGAAAATTCGTATATTCTCGAGCGTTCTTTAGAGACGTGCAAAACGAAGGAATGAAAGAGCCGACGGAAGAAGGTCCCTTTCTTCAGGTTGCAAGGTCAGGCTCCACGACTCAAGCAATGGCCTGCTAAACCACAAGCAACTTGCTTTCCCTCTTTGCTTTTGCGTGTCTCTTTGCTAGAGGCTAGAGAATTTGGCAAGCCGATATACATATTTTCCCCAGTGACTTGGAAACGTTTCAAGTGTAATCCTACTGAGTGATATCATTAATTTCTACGGCGGGAAGGTCGCTGTTGCTGCTACGAAAACAGAAAAGAAAGGGGGAAAAAAAATGAAAGAAAAATCATTGTACCTTGGCATCGCAAAATCATTGACGAAATTTTACTCGTAGAAATCTCTCATGCAAATTAAAATACTCAGTCTTGCATACGTCACTGGTATGTATTATAAAAAATTCAAATGCCCCGGATCTTATCTAAGCGTTCACCACGAGTGTTTGCGGTCGCAAAGACACATCGGTATATTCTTGTTTACATGGCTCCTCTTGGACAAACAGAGACCACGGGTAAGATAGACAGGGAAGGTAATTGAGATTCATATGTAACTAGCGAGACTCTGTATTCGGTTCCTGGAAACTCGTGACAACGGGCGATATTTTCGAGACGTGATCTAATCAATCGACTGTTGTTCGAAAAAAAGAAACCGGTCTTGGTAAACAGACGCACTAAGTAACGGAGACTATGTTCATTGGCGACGAGGACGACACATAACCCCACAAGGGAAATAAAAGGTATACGAGTGTTGCAGAGGTGGGTGGGTGAATGAAGAATTTTGAAAAGAAATGTTAAAAAAAGAAATGGTCAGAGCACGATTTATTATTATCACCCTACAAGCTTGCTAACTTCAGATGGGCGACTCGTGAATAACTTCTGTATATCTAACAGTGTCTTGCTAGGTCAATATTTCCTGAGGTTATTGAAATACCCAATTTTCGTACCACCGACAGAACCTGGTCGTTCAATTCCGTATTACGATTTAAATAGCGGCCATTTCCTTCCGCCTCGCAAGATCGAGTGTCTCGAATATTTCTCCAATGCCCCCATCCCCGATGGTACGGCAAACGTGGCAACCTGGCACTTCTGAACCCGTGGCAACGTGGTGCCAAAAATAGGAAACTCAAGTATCGGGGCGTAGGTGCGTTTCGCCAGAACGCGCTCGGAGTTTGACCGTTTCAGATATATACCCTCGAGAAAACAGTCTTCCGGTTACCGGCTAATGGAACCTTAAAGAAATGACAAGATCAAACGAAACTATCCGATCGCCTCCAAGATCTTTACCCGGCCAAGTACCCAAATTAGCCCACAAAGACAGGAAGCACTTGAATCCTCGCTGTAAAATATCCGATGAAGATTATCAAAACCACGTCACAACAATCCGCCACGAGGAAGTTACGTAATGACGGCTGAACGTGACGTAATCCAAGAGAAATACTCACTGATACCAAATGATAACAGAGCCATTAGCGCAAAGAGTCACTCCTATAAATATTCAAAGTATTCTATGAACGTACACAGCACTCTGGGTCCGCGTGTTAATTCAATACACGTCGTTTCTTTCCACGAGCCTCATTCCTCCTCGTCATCCGTCAAAACAGTTCGTCCTCGGTCGGTTATGTCGTCGCTTCACATAAGAATCTACCTTACCGACCGAGCTCCCTTTTTTCACGGCAATAGTCATGAAGTATTTTTAGAAGCTACACGAGTCTTCTACTACGGTATAGGGTCACATTGTTTCTTGTCCTACTGCTACAATTTAGTCGTCAGTTATCGTTAATCGACGCCTCGAATCGTCTCAGAGAAGTTCGTACTGAATTTCATGACTTATCTCCTTCGGAAGAGTGTAGCGTGTAGGGGACTCGTTTCGATTTCCTTATACGGCCGCGTGACTGACTTAAAAACCGACCGACGGCCATTACTCGTTCGCTCGGATACGTCACTCCAGGAATGAAATCTTGGAATCGTAACCGAGTAAGTCCACGTCTCGAGCGCTGTGCGTAGCAGTGTTGCGTTGGTCACGTTGAGCAGTTGTTGTGTACTTATTGAAATGATTTTATACGTATACATATATCCATACGACAAACCGTGACCTACTTTAACTGATTTTTATACTATACCTTTGAGCGTCTACCACATACACCATTCGCAATGGCGTAGTCAACCCCAATCACGCTCACCCGGTTTAATTATCGGCTGCTTTACGGGCGGAGTCGTTACGTCGTCTTCACTCGCATTATCCTAACCTCATGTTGGTAGAGGTGCAGTAATGAATTGGACTTTTGACGGAGGACAAGAAAGTAATTTGGTACGATTTTCGCTATTTGAATCTAAAGTAGCACAAAACGTAGTGTTCTGCTGTCAGTATTGTAACAGCAATTTTTTTTACAGACAAAATACGCACGTGAATAAATGACTCGACGAAAATATTGAAATCGAAATGAAAAAAAGGGTTTATGCTCTAGTAGTCCTGGATGACGTGTTTCACCTTGCTTGATCTCCGAGCAGCTGCATAACGCGTTACGCGTTGTTGCATTGTGCGTAACATCTGCCCACGCATCTTTCTGTGGCGTCAGGAAGAGGGATGAGGGATAATTAGATTTATAGTTTGACAATGCGACGTGGGACTTTCAAGGGTAAATGGATTGGTGGTCGTATTGGAATGTTTTTTTTTTTTGCTAATACTAGGAATATTGGAAATTTTTTTTAAATGTGTCACTTGCTGTAATTATTGTTAGCTTTATTGAACTGTCGCATTCCAGGGGAAAAATAGAGGTTTCTATAGGACGTTACTGATTAACATACCTTTTCTCTCAGCGATGTATATACTTTTCTTACGGTCTGTGGCGTACGGCTTATTTTTATACTTTTCCTTTTTTTTTTAACTCTCCTTACATACCCTCACACCTGCATTGTGACTCGCGCAAAACACCCGGGGAATACTCAACGACGTATTCAAAAATATCGCAGAAATTTTTATGTAATATGTCACGTAGTCATTGCATTTACAATTCGCGTTAATATTTTATGAAAATTTTTGTATACACTTTTTTTGCAAATTCATACTGCCTATTCAGACCAACAGCCGTGATTATTGGTGGGATGAGAAAAATATTTTTTTTTTTTAATTTCCTTAATCATAACAAATATATGAGATAAAAACTCAATCAAGTGATGTAACATATTTAAGATGCATCTCAATGTGCCATTTGTAAATGCACCAGCATGTTTATTCCATATTTTAAATTATTGCATATACTGAGCTTCGTTGTATTTTAATCCTGTTTCAATTTCATTATTTGCACGTTACAAATATTAAGCATCGCATGCTATACTCATAAGCGATACCGGCTTGATTTAAATATATGAAGCCAAAAAAATTGCAGATCTGCCTGTCCTTGGTCGGTGTGTAAAATTTAATAATTTTTGTTAATTCTCCATTAAAATCACGTTTAATCAGATCTCCGTTACTTTTCCCTCGGATGATTCATACCGAGACCTTCCCATACGATTCGCCGAGCCGCTTCTCTGCTTTACGAATCCTTTAAAGGGAAACCACGTCATTCATCAGTTTCTTGCTCTCCTATGCAGCGCGTATGACAATGCTTATGATTTCACTTTCTCTCGTTCATATATTTATATAAAATCCATCTTTGTACATTGAATTTGTAATTTCTTGAATTAACATACGTACGACGTTAGCCGGTTCATCACGCGAAGACATTTTGAAACTAAGAAGCAACGCACGTTCAATTATTAATTTTCCATTCAATTCGCGTTCATTCTCTCGTTTCTAGAATATATATGTATATATATACACTGAAAGTCAGAGACACGGAATACGTAGATATATAGTTTCTTCGTGACGCTAGAGAACTTACGCGTGTTTATCCGGCATAAAAGCCATGACGTCCTGACGACCACGCGAAAGCGCCTACGCGTGACCCGCTCATTCCCCTGATTGTGAGTAGACGCACGCGAGTTCGCCTTTAAGTACGAACCATATTTGCACGTGTCCTGCTCTCCGGATGCCGTCGGTAAAATTAGGATGGGAAATTGAAATAAAGTTGGCACGCGATTATTGCGCGTCTCGATGCAGCATGTAAAATTGATATTTTAATAATAAAATTATGTTGATTTTTGTACTTGTCTCTTGAGGCGACTACACGATGAGTTGGTAACCAGAGCCCGTGACGCTCTTGAAGCGCGTATATTCCTTTTTTTGTTTGGGAGCGTTTAGAGAATGACGTTTCGACAAGAAAACAGTCCCAAAGGTCGACGAGGGGGAGTGCCTAAGGAGAATAGTAGATTTCGGACGTTCGAGAGAGTTTTATATAAAAAAGTATCATGAATGCAAAAACTGATAATAGGTATATGCGATAAAGGGTCGGGATTGTGTCTTACGAGCTGCTGAGAGCGTTTACGGCTTTGCATGAAAACGCGTCTTAGTGGTTTTACGTAGTCGTAGGCACGCGCGGCCGGTTCTGATTTGTGTAAATTTCGTTGGATGTGCTTAACGTGATTTGTTTCCTTTGTTTGCTCCAGGGATTTCCGTTTGACGACGACGCTGGATTTGGACGTCGTACCGATATTCGCGCGCATCTCGACGACTTGGCGTCACGACATCCGGAATTTGCTGATCACCTTCTTGGACCACCCTGGGGCGACATACCGTTCCATGGTACATTGAGGAATCGTCGTCGCGGTTCTGGAACCGGCAGCTACCAGGGTCATCCGGACGAGGACGCGAGGAGTCAGGCCAGTGGGAGTAGTGCAGCTAGCGCCGCGAGCGGCGCCAGTGGTGTGAGCTCGCACGGCGAACCGGAGGTTCATCATAATACAACGCAGCCTGAGGAGACTGTGAGCCAGGATACTCGTCGCAATCCTATACCGCAGTACGGTCTCAGAAACACTGTGGATATAGGTCAGCATCGACACAATATGGAGAATCCTGATAAGGCTCTTCGTGGGCAGCGTTCCATGTCGGCGCCACCTGAGAATCGGCAGCCACACTTTCAGCAACAGTATCCGCAACGTCAGTTTCAACAGCCACAACAGTTCCAGCCACCTCAGGAACCACAGTCTCAACAGTCACAGCAACAACAGACGCCACAGAATCAGAGATTTGTCTCCAGAGTGGATATTACACCTCAGCAACAAGCTGAAGCTGCTGGTAAGCCACCCATGTCGCCAAAGACTCAACAACCTCAGCAACAGCAGCAACCGCAACAGCAGCAGCAGCAGCAGCAGCCTCAGCAGCAACAACAAAAATCTGGACAGCAGGGTAATGTCAGGCATATCCCTATATTCGTTGAAGGCAGAGACGAACCTGTGATACCAAGAAATGTGGAAGAACCAGCGTTCCCAAGACAGCAACAGTCTCCGCCGCAATTCACACGACAACAACAATCTTCACCGACCTTCCAGCAGACACCGCCTCAGTTCCACAGGCCATCACATTTCAATCAACACTTTGGAAACAAACAGAACCCGTGGCCACCCCAGTTCCAGGATCACTTTTACCAGCAACAGGCACCTTTTGAACAGCCTCGGTGGTCACATTCTCAGCAGCAACAACCACCACAGCAGCAGCATCAACAACCACAACAAAAGCCACCCAATAATTATCAGCAACAGCAACATCAACCGCAAAAACAACAGCAAAAGCAACACCAAGGAGAACAACAATCAGAAGAACAACCGGAACCCGTGAAACTGAAACAGGTGCAGCCTAAAGAACCTCTAGAAAAGGTTGCCTTAGTGCAAAAGGAAGTTGACTCTTTGGCAGATCAAGTCAAGGCGTACAATGGAGATTCCAGACAGGACAAGCAGTACATGTACCTAGATGAAATGCTCACCAGGGAACTGATCAAACTCGATGACATTGAAACTGAAGGCAAGGAAAATGTAAGACAGGCTCGCAAGGTAGCTATTAAGAGTATACAGGACTGCATCAGTCTCCTGGAGTCAAAGGTACCTCTACCAGGTCAGCAAAAACCTGAAAAGGAGTCCCAAATGTCTGAAGACAATACTACCAGTGAGTCGATGGAAACAGAACAGGAGGTAAATACTGTAGAGGATAATGGAAAGGCAATTCCTCTACCGGCAGCACCAGGTTCACCGACCAAAGACACCTCGAATCCAGAAAACAAGACTGCCAATCAGGAACAGGAAAACGCAACAACAGACAAGACTGTCAATCAATCTGAAAACATTGAACAAACATTCGCCAAATCGTCAGAACCCACTGAGAGTACGCCAGCTACTAAGGATCTTTCGAATACCCCAATGGAAGTACATCAGGAACAATCCGTACCACCTAAGGAGGCTGCTCCTGCAACGGAAACCAAGGAAATCAGCAAAACGGAAGTTAATACTAATACTGAAAAAGAAGAAACGAAGGGAGAAGACGACAAGATATGTAAGAAAGAAGAAACCTCAGCGCAACCTACGGAGAAGCCTGCAAAGTCGCCGAAGACGACCAAGAAGGTAAAGAAGACTAAGAAACAACAAGTTCCCGTTTCCGAAGAGGCGATACCTTTGCCAGGGCCGAAAGACAACCAACAACCTACGTCTAAATAAATTCGTAGTAATGATGATCACCCTCATCGTGCCATGGATTTTAAACGCGAAAAATTTTAAACACGTGTATGCGCATGTGCATCTAACGACACTTTACAAATTTTTATGAAACGATTAAATGAACAAACATATACGACTTAAAAAGAAAAAAAAAACTTCCGTGACTCTTCGGTCAGAATTCTCGCACGACCTGCATCTTGTTCTTTTGTCTAGAATTAAATCGCGTAAATTTACTATATATTATTTATAATTTATTGTATGTCCTTTGTAGATAAGGGTCGAAGTGCGTATACATACTTGCATATGGATGTAGTAATCATCTTTAGTACAAGGCTTATGTATACATAGATGGTATATATGTGTATATGTGTTCCGACAGAAAGAAAAAAAAATTAAAAATGAAAAAATGCGTCTTCTCCAACGATCGAATTTATATTATTGTAAACTTTTTCAAAACTGCTAAGAAAATATTTTAAATCTATTAGTCAGTCGAATATACTCCTTTACAAGTTTCTTTGGCCTGTATAATTAGCACGTCAATCTTTCTGAAATACTCTGTTTTTGAAAACGTCTCTCATGATTGGTTATCGAATGACTTAATATACATGTATGTAATTAATAATCATTATATCATTGAATCTACGCGCTTTTATGCGTGCAGAGTTATTGCAGATAATCCGTGCCTTGTTCAACAATGAAGAATAAAAAAATAATTGAAATGTCCTACAACAATTCCTAGCCGAAAAATAAACGTTATTGCGCGATAGCTTGACTTCCATTGTACTGTTTAAGCCGCTTTTTTGACATCTTAATAAAGTGAAAGAAAAGCAAGAAAGTTAAGCCAACGTTTAGAGTGATATTAGTTTCCAGTAGATATCTTGGCTAGTCGTTCTTTCATTGAGAGTAAGAGAATTTAAGAGTGAAAGAAGAGAGAAATACAGGAGAAAGTCTCTTGAAGCGATTGGTTGGGTACTCCATTGTTACATGATGACATACGAATGCTGTTTTTTATCCTCTTGCAGGATGAGAACAACGAATCACTTTTGTTTCTTCTTTTCTATAAGATATTACCTTATTATAATAATACCTAGAGACGATATATATATACTTTGCGCCTACATTTTGTATTGTTCTGAGATAAGTAGAGTGTTGTACAAATGCCCAGAGCAGAAGTGTAATTATTTTATCAAGAAGCGTAATCGAAGTAAAAATATAAACTTATCCTTCCACTTTCTTATTATCTACAATCTCTCATTATTTATGCAAAGTTAAAAAAAGAATCGGGCCTCGATTTCATTTTGTGAAATTTGACTATTTCTAGTTGCGCATGCGCAAACTTACCTTTCAGTGTCAGAGGACGCCGCACATAAGGCAAACTATGTGGTAACGCATGCGGCTTTTAGCGTGCAGCAAACTCCAATCAAATGATTTTCTACAGCTCTTAACGTATGTTACTTTTCACGTTCTCTTATAACCGGCACGTGATACATGAAAATTCCTACAGTTTTACGTGCGACCGTTTGAACGCGTACAAAGTGGTAAATTCAAAATTTTCAATTTGAAGTCGCAGCCATTTCGTTGAATTGAAAGGGCACGTAAAGCGACAAAACTATTTTTAAAGCATTCGTATTTCGTAAGGAGACAGATCGTGCTACTCGACTGAGACGTGAATTTCTGAAAAGGTAAAAATTCAATAATATTTTATAAACAAAGTGCAGTACTGCCAACTATTGAAAAATGTGAATGATAATTTACACAAGCTTTCTCGTTGCCCACATCGAAATATCAAGCTGTTTACTAATTGGATTGACTGATTATATATTTCTCGGAAAATCGTGAACCTCCGCAGTTCAATGAGAATAAGAGCTTCAAGTAGCCGAGGATAACTCAGATTTAACTTTAGATATTTTCGCAATCGTATACGCCTACTTTTACCGTAACCTCATCTTGAAATCTCGGAACACCGTGGAACTGGGACGCCGCACTCGTTATTCCTATACTATACATATATTTTTGAACACGCTGCTCATAAAGTTAGAGACTGAAATTGAATCACTGAGTTTTACCCAGGAACATTCGCCATTAGTGCTTTCCTTTTCTCACGCACAATGACAGTGTCACTTTAGCATATATGTCTCTTACTTTCGTTTACTTCGAGGTAGTCATTTTGTTATCTTCATTATTACGGCAATGACAGTTACAATACTGCATTCAAAAACGTTTCCTGGTATACTTAACGTAGTCGCTCCGTTCTCGCGGTGTGACAACATGGCGGATACGCAAGAAATGGAACTGGGATTCTTTAGATTTGCGAACTGTTCCAGGTCTATTATTGAAGTACATAACGTATTATACACAAGGTATTGTATAATAATAATTGTGATTCTCCAAGAGCTCAAGGCATTTTAGATACACAGTCGTGTATTGTACTCTGTACCCAGTTGACTATTTCCGGAAACATAAAAGAATACGTTGAACAGAGTCGCGAGTTGAGAATGCGACTTTGAATGGAATTCAAACCGCGAGATAGCTGGTATTTGTCTCGTGGCTTTGGCTATCGTACTTTTCAATCTTGTTGTTCTATGACAAATATATCTCTGGTCTGTACCTACAGTCCTCATAGTGTTCGGTGAATACTATTCCCGTGTAGATATTGACTCTGTACCATTATTTCATAAGCACCAGTGCCAAAGGAATGGACTGTAGTCTGTGCAGAATTTCCATAAGATTTCTAGCAGAATATGGAAGTTGGCCAATTAATAGTTTTCCAAGAAAATATACATGGCTTATGGTCGATTGTAGTTCGAGAAATTTCTGTCTATCTGAATTCCCAAGTACCAAGTTACTGTGTGCTTTGTTTACAGGACAGGTGTTCTTTTCATCATAGCAATGAAAGAGGCTATGGAAATATTTAGCTCAAGTTGTATCTTATCGTAACGTGACATAGTTGACAATTTCCGGTAAAAAGTAATTAGAGATACTGGAGAGTAATTATTAAATCATTTTGTGAAGAAGGAAGTCTGGGATACTTTTGTTTGCGCACAAAGAAAAGATAAAAGAGTGAAAGCGTGTGATGCACCAACATTATGCATAGTGACGTAAGGAAATTCACTGTAATTTGATTATAAATTAATTTCATAATGGGAAGCAGTTTCCTGACAGCATTAATGCTTCTTACAACAGGGAAGAATCCCATGGTACACGCATCGTATCGCACTATGCAAATTACTGACACGTGCTAGTAATTACACTGCAGCCGCATTGGGATTCTAATCACGAAATTACATTAATGTTGCCTCCAGTGTCGAATATTTATTAATTCGGTTTTGCAATATAGCCATGCTAAATTGGAAGTCAGTGCGAGATGAGAAATGAACGTTTACTGGTATTCTGTACCATTAGTAAGATGTGAGAAACACGCCTTTGAATTTCTAACGGCTCTTGTTGCATATTTGATTATGAACCTGTACGTGGAGGTCGGTCTAGCTTCCGTTAGGATGACAGGAGTAGTATTTTGTTTGTTTAAGAATTTTCTACAGGTGACGGGACGCTATGATGCATCACCAGGAAATGCATTATTACCTCTGCAATGTCTGTCCTGGGAACAAGAACAGGTAACACAGGTTAAATTTGACACGATCCAACATGGGCGACTGGTTAGAGCCAAAGTTGGCACTGTGCCTTGAAATGAAATTTCTAAAAATAAGTTGCTCCCTTGGTATAGTTAGTGGTCGCGTTGGCGATGAGAGATGTTTTTGCGTCGCGCCGGTAGAAGTCTGGCGTCCCTGGGGAAACCCACCGTCGACAAGAATGAATGTCACTTGTTGTGAGTCAGATACGTTGACGAATTACACCTGTTGATCTGGTGAAAAATAGAACTGGAAATTTGGCCTTTTGTAATGATATGAACATTGATTTGGAGGTACAAGAAAATTAAAAATTCCGTACATATTTAACCTAACGTGAAGATCTTTTTCTTTTAATAATACGGATCGTGTTTACCAATCTAGTAGTAATTTAACTAATTAATTAAGTCGGTATCATTTACAAGTTATTGCAGTGTTGTATTTTAGCCGTGTAGAAATGAAACATATACAAGCTGTGCTACATTACAAATATTAATTAACATTTTGTTTCATTTTTATTTGAATAATGATCTTTGGACTTCGCTTCGACCATGTACGTACACTTTGCTATCTGTGTCGGGTTCCGTTATGAAGATGGCAGGCGCCGAAGGCGGTACCATACGAAAGTGTAAAACCCCACAATGACAATAAAATAGTCAAGTAGGAGCGTCAGAGTGGCACAAAATTCTTAAGCAGTATTCAATATTAGACACCTGATAGAGTATGAGGCATGTAATGCGATGTAAGATTATTCGTGTAGATACTACAGAAGCTATAGCGGATAGCGAAATAATTATACAAAGGCAACGCGTCACTATTTCAAAATATACACAAATTCTCATATTTCCGATTGACGTTTTTATACTCAATCCATGGTGGGTTTTTTAGACAGTTTAAGGGGTACTATTTTATGCTTGTGCAATTCAAAGTCTGCATGATTTTCCTCGAAGCACGCTGGACAATACAAATCGTTATTACAACCTGAACAAACTAACAATTGTTTAGTTTCTTCACACATAACGCATGACGGTGCTTCATCCTCGTCACAGCTTCCTTGCACAGCCTAGAGAAAAAAGTTTACTTTAGTATTGTAGAAAAAGGATTAATTTAATTAATATAATTATTTTGCCTTACCTCAATTTCCATATCTTCAAGTTCATCAACATCTTGATACTTTGCTTCAATGACTGCTTCGGACAAAGCCTTTTTAATTAATTTCTTAGTCACTGTATCTTCGTCATCACTGTCGTCATGTTTTACTGTGGACTATTAATAAGAAATAAATAACTTCTCATTTGTAATTTTTGTTTTCTATCGTATATACTCACCTTGGATGGATCGATATCTCTTAAATGATCTAATCTAGCTTGGATTTCTTGGTAAGGGTCTTTTCCTGCAGACAATTTCAATGTGTCTAAATATTCTGATATTAAGTCATTTGTCTTCTGTTGGTCAGATCTAGTATCCTCTTTATAAATCTAAAATATAATTGATTAATAGATACTTGCGACATAGTTATCAATTCATACTCATAATATCATACATTTCCTTTCTCAGGAACTTTATCAGGATCCTGATCCTTCAATAATGCCAATCTATGTCTTATCTCTTCTACACTAGGTGCAGGAACTTGTTTATCCTCATCTTTGAGTTTTCTCAACCGATCAACAATTTCCTGATCTGCTGGTTCTAATCCCGTTTTAAACTTATCCCAATGTGTACCTTGTTTATACATTGTTATTGGCGGTTTACTTGGATTTTCTAATGCATCCAATCTACATAAAAGAATTATTCCAACAATTCATTTAAATTCTTAGCATAACATTTATCATAATATTATTCTATTTTTTTGTACTTTTTGGTAATATCTATGGGTATCAGTGGAGAATCCAATCCCTCTGGTGGAGACAGGTCAGAGACAGGTGTTACAGTTTTCTTTGTCTCGCTAAACTGTAATTTGTTATAACATGGACCACATATTTTCTTCGTACCAACATTTGGTAAATGGCATTTATACTTTAGGCACTTGCTGCAGTAAGAGAACCCACATTTTGGACAAGCATTCTATATTAAACAATAAAATTTAGATAAGTCAAGCGATAGAATAATTAATTCATATACACAGAAATTCTAAAAAAATTAATAGTGAATAAATAACGGCGACAGTAGACATAACGACAACACTACAGAAATTTATCTATTATTAATCATATGGAACCAAAACTTGAATTAAAATAAAAGTCAAATCTGTTTCGAAATGACAGCAAAACATAACCTATTCACAAGTGACAAGCGATACTTACTTCATGCGTGAAGAATGAATATTTAGTCTGACATGAGTTACACGACATGTTTCTGTCTTACAAATATCTTTATGCTTTACAGTGACATTAAAATTTAAACAATATATTTACAATTAATATATTGGAATCGTAGCTGCTCCATCCACTAAGGTAAGAAGCACGTACTATCTGATTTTCGTACGTGTGAATTCTGCTATATCAGTAACGCTTAAGCTTTGTTTGTAGACAAGAAGTATGAACTAAATAATATTAGAGAGGAGAAGAATCTCTTTCTGTCAGAGATGCGTAGGGAAATGCACAACGCAACGGTTTTAGGCGATATCAAAATCAAGGCACTAAATCGTAGCGTCGAGGCTGGAAGTAGGATGATTTTGGGATCATCGCCTCCGTTGACAATGTGAATCCCACCGTAGCCCAGCTGAACGTGAAAATCGGACATGTAGCGTGGGGGGCAGAGGTTCTCCGCTACTGACCACTACTGACCGCTGGTTCCCAAAGCAACCCTTAGAACCATACCGGAAACTATAGAACTTCTCAAGAACTATTGAAAAAGTCGACTATCAACTATTGTTAAAACATTTTTAAGACATTTTTAAGAGAGTTCAGTGCTAACTTCACACTCGTGTAGCACCTCAATTTTTGAAAAATGTTTCATCACTTGAAGGCACTTGACCCTCTATAAGGGCATAAAGCCAAAAAGAAATAAGAAGAAGAAGGAAGAGAGAAGAATAAAAAAATTAGTGGCACAGAAATATTGAAAATTCGAAACATTAAATAAACCTTTCCGAATACTACTAAATGTTATTGGATCTTGATTTACTTTTAAAATTTATTCAAAATATAAAATTGAGGCTAAATTAAAATCTCGCAGCATATACGGAGTAGATAAAAATTGAATTGAAATTGTAGAATATTGAAAATAAATTACGTTCTTATTGAAATATTAATAAATTAGGTGTTTGGAACATAAAAATAATTAATTAAATCAATAAAGTAAAATATTAACATTTAGAAATCGGAAATTCTGGCCAAACATACATATTTAAAAGTACTGGAAGTTGCCCAAAATTTTGTGCGCGCAAATTCGTCGCGCAGGGCTCGGCGACTGGTAGCAGGTGGAGAATGGGGGGAGCGCTCGAGGCAGTGGCCGGACTCTGAGTGCGCATTCTTCTTCGAGCCGGTCTCCTATACTGCTCTCTTGGAAGCACCCATCATATCCATTTCCAAACTTCTTTTTTTATATTGATTTCTTCCTTACTTCCTTATTTCTTTATCTTTCAATCTTTACTTTCTTATTTATCTCTTTCCTAATTTCTTCTTTACTCTTGTAACTCTATTCCTTACTTCCCTACTTCTTCACTTCTTTATTTCTATATCCATTTACAACCTTCTTCTTCTTCTATATTTATTTCTTCTTTACTTCCTTATTTCTTTATCTTTCAATCTTTACTTTCTTATTTATCTCTTTCCTAATTTCTTCTTTACTCTTGTAACTCTATTCCTTACTTCCCTACTTCTTCACTTCTTTATTTCTATATTCATTTCTTTCTGATTAACTTATTCTCACTTCTTTATTTCTATATCCATTTACAACCTTCTTCTTCTTCTATATTTATTTCTTCTTTACTTCCTTATTTCTTTATTTTTCATTTTTTACTTTCTTATTTATCTCTTTCCTCATTTCTTCTCGACTTTTATAACTCTATTCCTTACTTTTCTACTTATTCACTTCATTTCTTTCTTCTCTTTTCGCTTTGTTCCCTCTCACTTTCCATTGTATTTGTCTTACTTTCCTTATTCCTTTGGTCGGGTCGAGCATATTCATTCAAGTAGTCATATAAGAGTAGTCACCCTGTTAGTGCAGCTAGACTTAAGACCATGGTGTCGGGGGTTGCACTTCCGCCTCATCCGCTGAGCTTGCTCAGTGGGTTGGGCCCAAGTTGTGGCCGCAACAGGACTTTATGGGTCTCCCGACGGGGGCCTTGAGCCCCCTTAAGGTATCTACGGCCATGGTCTTTCGTATAGTGAATCTAACCAGGTATCTAGCTTTCGCGTATTTAGTATAATTTGTTCACTTTGCTAAAAACACTCCAACATGTCGTTGACCCTTGGGCACTTGTGTGGCGTCACCTTACCCCCTTGTGCGTTTTTCTTGTCCCTCGACCCGACTTCCTTTCCTTCCTGAGGTTTTTCCCCCCTAGTCCTGTGCGCGAAAGCCGCAGGACTCGGGGGTTTTCCTCAATAAAAAACAAAACACGGTCCCCTATGGGGCCACGGAGGGGTCGTAGCTCCCTTTAGTAGAGGCAGGACCTCACGGAAATAGGCGGGGTGGGGCCCATTTCGCTCCCTTATACTTCCTACTTTTCCTACTTTTCTCACTGTTCTCTTTTCTCGTTCCTCCAGAATAATCTGGTCTTCGTACATACGCTTTAAGCATCTGCTTCTCCCCTCGTTCCCTCAGTCATAACCATCTCTCTTCTTCAGTCTTTCTTTTTAACAATCTTCGTCTTTTCCCCTTCAACAACATCTTCCCTGTCTGCTGCCAACAAACGTTTCTATTCTATTTTCGAATTTCAAACAAAACACGGTCCCCTATGGGGCCACGGAGGGGTCGTAGCTCCCTTTAGTAGAGGCAGGACCTCACGGAAATAGGCGGGGTGGGGCCCATTTCGCTCCCTTATACTTCCTACTTTTCCTACTTTTCTCACTGTTCTCTTTTCTCGTTCCTCCAGAATAATCTGGTCTTCGTACATACGCTTTAAGCATCTGCTTCTCCCCTCGTTCCCTCAGTCATAACCATCTCTCTTCTTCAGTCTTTCTTTTTAACAATCTTCGTCTTTTCCCCTTCAACAACATCTTCCCTGTCTGCTGCCAACAAATGTTTCTACTCAATTTTCGAATCTCCTATTCCTTCCTATGTCTCCATCACTCTCCTCCTAGTATACCTTCAAAAACTAAGTTTTTAAAATGTCCTTTGGAAAAAGAAAAGTCTAAAGTGGTAGCGCATTTTAACATACAACACACACATTATATTGCAGTGATATATTTAATATATCTCTAATCGTATTGTTATTGCTAATCTTTCGCTAACTATATATCTATATCTTTACTTTATATACTGTATCATTATCGTATTTGTCGAATAAATTATCTGGAAACACTTATACACATTGACATTCTTTTGTCATCTACGAATATTCCAGAGTACGAATGAGTTCGTCTCTCACTTACTCTCCTCCGTCCTAACTGCATCATTCTCCTCCTTCCCCTTCTCCCTTATCCTTTGACACTCCTCCAATTTCTCTGTCATATTATCCATATCCTGACTTTGCTTTTCTTCATCAGTATTACTTTATAAAATAAAATGATTCCGAATACAATTTGAAAATCGCATTGTCGAAACTTCAGTAAGTTAATTTTTATTAAAAATTTCGTATTAGTTCAAATTTTCACCGATAAGGGGGTAGCACCTCCTGGCATGGTAAGTGGCGCCATCTCTGAGACAACTAGGGAACTTTCTACAATAAAATTCAAAATTCATTAATAGTCTGCATATTCCAAAATGTGAAAGGATTTTTTTAAAGTGGCGGTTCCGTATCGGAATTTGATCTGTACTAGCATTTTCTATAGACCATTCTGACTTTTTGCATAAAGAAATCTTTGAAAGTATCATGGAAAAAACTCTAAACCCAGCCCTTTCCGTAATATAGCTGGTTATCAAAGTACATGCAGAATTATTTTATCGGAGAAAGTTGACTGGTTCTCTTAGAGATGGCGGCACTTATCATGAAATTTCGAACCAATATGAATTCTTTAATAAGAATTGACCCATTGATGTTTCGAAGATGCGATTTTCAAATTGCATCCGGAATAATTTTAGTTTAGAAGGTAGTATTGATGAAGGAAAGCGAAGTCAGGACATGGAAATAATGGCAGAGAAAATGGAGCATAGCTAGAAAGGGGTGTCAAAGCATAAGGGCGAAGGAGGAGGTGAAGGATGCAGTTAGGACGAAGAAAAGTAAGTGAGAGGCAGAACTCATTCGTACTTTGGGATATTCGCAGAGGGCAAAAGAATATCCACGTGTAAGTGTTCCAAGATAATTTATTCGCCGAATACGAAAGTGATACAGTATACAAAGTACAGATATGTACATACTTATGTTCATCAACTACGTTTGCCACTCACAAGCTCTCGGGAAGAAGAAAATTAAACCAAAAATAGGGAAAAGAAATCAAATAAGGAGTGAAAAAATTGCGCGTAAAATCCACCTCAGACAATCGCCTCTTGCGAAATGAAAGCACCGAGCCTCTGCACTTCCTTATATAGCAAACGCTCCCAATTATGTTTGGCTAGTGTCCGACTAGTGCTGCCTCCTACGGAAAATTAATCAATCACAAATTCTAGTACGTCTTCATCGCCACAACATTCTCCGTCATGTTTCTTTAATTTAACATTAAAAAAATAATGTTGGAAGATGCATCCTCTGACACTCACGTATATTACGATGCTTCATCCTTGCAACCAGTTACACTCCATTTTCCGAAAATCATAAATTCGATGTAGAATTTCAAAAGTCAATCCGATTGCTTCCAAAATTTATGGACATTAACCTCCGTCAATAACATCGTCTCGTCAACTGACTGATTGCCACCTATAAACCGTCTTACGGAATGGACAATTGACAATGCAGAGAAGCTACAACAATGATTAACGACTCTAATAATCCGTGACACATCTATCAATGAAGACAGGTGAGACAATCGCAATTTATTCGCTTCTCAGTGCAGCTGTAGGATAACGTGCATACAAGTGCATTCCATCGGACAATGATCTGACCGTCAAAGTGATGCGCGAGAGGTCATTATCCCTTATCGCACCAACCGATCAATATTATCGACCCTGAGACAGGAAAGGGTAGGCTGTCCACGTTGGAGGTTGATTCACGATAGTTCCTATGGAAACCCCAACGACGATCGAACAGTCCAAGGGGCCCGTCGGCGTTTCTTCCTCCTCGTGCAGGCGTATAGACTCAAGTCAGGTAATACCTACGTGCGCCCTGCTGCCATCCGCAGTCTCAAATATTTGTACGACCCGCGATGAACCCGCATCTTCCTCTGGGCGGTGACTGAACTCGTACACCAGGAGCCGTGGCCCTGAAAGTAGTGCCCGATTAGAATCATCCCCCCATTACTGTCACAGTGCAATCACGTAAACATAAACCACACAACTAATTCCACGCGAACATACGATCAATTTATAGGGGTAGTTTTTGATCCTGTAGACCATTTTTTTTCGTTAGCCCTTTATCTCCTTTCCTCCATCTTGTTTTCTTGTGGCGAGTTCCCCGTGGGATTATGACAGGAAGATTGTCCTTGGTGGAGCAGAAGAAATTGCAGTGGGCCAAAGAAAGGGGTATGCTTACTTAATTTTTTTTTTCTTTTTGGAAATATACGTAAAATAAAGTCACCGAGGTATTTAATTGGATGTCATTTATTTTTTATTATACAATTTTTATTATCACTTTAGAGGAAATGGCCAGATTATGCGGGCAATGGGGTTCTTTGAAAAATTGTGATCCTGTACGTACGACTATACGGTAAGTGGGACAGGATAACCGTGGACGTTGTTTGTTTTTTAATTATTCCTCCGATAGCAGCCTAGAATTATTATTTACTGACATTTTAAACCCGTCTTAGGACTTATCGTACCGGGACTAGAATGTCTTTGACGGAAACTAATGGAAAGCAGTCACAGCGCGGACAATACGGAAGTACAATAAGCTTGAAGAGTTTGTCAATGGGAAATACCGGAAACAGTACAGTGAGCTTGCAAACTTTGAATTGTCCCAACGGCAGTTTGATCAGCTTGAACGATCAGACAGAATTTTCAAAAACGGCGCGACGCAGAAGTCCCAGTTTACCGCCAATTCATAGCAAGGATCAAGTCCAGTACTTGTCCCAGGTAACAAGAGTTATTAAAAAAAAAGTCAAATATAACAATAAGAAAAACAATCCAAAGAATTATGCCTTACTACGTACCAATAACATAGATCCTACCGGTAGCGTGGTAGGAAAGAAAGTAAGTCACTTCCTAAGATCAATATCAGACTTTTCTAGTAGCCAGAGTTCACTGACTCCTATGGCGTGTCTTGGACATTCTCAATTGCCAGCGTTAATTACATCCAATAATTGATGACCAAATCCAAAATTAAGATCATCCATGTAAAGTGCGGATACGTGTAAAAATAATTTTGTAGATATAGAAAAATGATTTTTTTCCAATCAAAATCAATACCCTTTTTGACGCCGTGTCGTTTAGAATTAATTTGGACGTAACAGTATACGTAGAATCAGATACGGTTATTTAGGATGCCAAAAGTAGCTCAAGATATTCGGGTCAGGCCGTGCGAATTCCTATGAATATTAATGCAAGATGAATTTGTTACATGTTAATGAGAGTCTCGCTGTGCCTTTTGCGGCTGGTTAAGTCTGTATAGCAAAGCCATGCGGCCGCAATCTGGCATAGTAATCTCACCCTCGATTAGAGCCAACGTACAGGGTGGGTTGTTGTATGTATACATGTGAGGGGTTAGTACCAAGCAGAGGTAGGGAAGTAAAGTTCCGTTCTCAAAGGAGAATCCAGTTGAGTCTGGTTGGGTCACGCAACGCTCTACTTATTTTTTTCTACCCTTAAAAAGGAACAACGTGAACTGGGGGTGGAGGGCTTACGTTTCTACCCTCAGCAGCAGCAGCAGCAACATCAGAGGTACCAGGAACGGGACACGAGCCAGATTAATATAAGGGAGCGTTACGGTTCGCCACGCGAAGAACGCGAGGGTGAGACTTCCGGGTACGCCAGTGATTCTGCCGAAGCAGCCTTGCCGCAGAGTAACAGTAAGTGTCTTGATAAATTTTTCGTTGAAATATAGTTTTGGCAAAATAAATATAATATTGGATCAATTTTAATAAGGATTTTTATTACTTTTAGACGGTCTTTTACCAGGCTGCAAACCTACGGTGATGACTGAGAGCAATTGGAATTCTGGTAATTATTATGGTACACCTGAGAGCTCTCTGCCACCCTCCAGAAGACTCTCGGCTGCTAAGGGTGGAGAATTGAATAGGCCTAGATGGGGTGGTATTTGGGGACAGGATTTAATTAGGGGTGATCCACCTCCACCCTCTTGGCTCGAGAGGGGACTTTCTAGACTGGATCATACGAGTCAGGTATTGTTACTTTGATATTGAACTTTATTGGTAATAGTACTGATAAGATTTATTGATTGATATTGAAAATAAAAAACTCACCCATCTTTGGAGAAGGTCCTGGTGATCAATCATGACAGCGCAAGTAGTCCAGACAGTTCCACGACAGGATCAGCCGGTTCTGATTCCAACAAGACGTATTTGCGTGGACAAAATATTCCAGTGGACGCGGATATACTTCAGGAACGTGAAATTAAACGACAGAAGGCTTTAGAGCTACAGAATGCAATAAAGCAGCAATTGGAAGAGCGGGACAGACAGAGAAAGGCGGAAAAGGAAAGGAGATTGAAGGAAGAGAGAGAGGAGGAGGCGAGAATAAAGCGAGAGAGGGATTTGGAAAAGGAACGGTGAGAAATTTTGAAAATATATTTTTCTTTAATTAATTACTAATTAATACTGTCAATCAGATTCGAGGAGGAACAGCGACGATCGAAGGAGAAGGAGAATGCGAAAATGAAAAAGGCTGAAGCCATGCGTGAAGTTTTGGAAGCTGCTGAGAGACTGGCAAAGGAGGAGAAGAAATTGAGAAGAAAGAGAGACGAGAGCAGCGATGATAACGGCAAGGAGATCAATATAAATGTATACGAACCTTCCAAGGACAACAGACTGAACAAATCGTCCTGTAGTAAAAATATTGATCATCCAGTGCAGCAAAATAATTATTGCTGCGACAATTCAATGAAGGAAAATAAGCAGATGAACAATCAGCGAGAATGTAGTAATCTTGATAGGGAGAAAGAGAAGAATCCTGATAAGAGAGATCCTGACGAGCCTAATCAACCTACCAGTATACAGCTTCCAGTTAGCAAGGACGTAGCTATAGTCCTTAGTGGCAGATTAGATGATCCTGAAATTCTTAAAACAGCCAATCTCCAATTGGTCAATCTAGTGGTCACTCCTAGTCCTAGAAATATTGAGAATGGCGCCAATACCCTTGCTACAGGACTGACTGCTCTTGTTCAGAGTCTGGGAAGTCCTGCAGGACGAAAGTCATCCTTGAAACTTGGTACTTCGCCTAGGATTGTGGAGAATAGAATTCTCACGCCTAGCAAGTACAGGACGTTCAATGGACGGGATTTTGGGACTCAGACTGAAGCTAATCAAGATCTTCAAGTCCTACAGGATAACACGAACAAGGAAGTTTCCATCAAGGAACGTAAGGAGGCTGTGAATGCCAATAGAAGAGACGTGGAGAAGTGAGTTCTTTCTTAATTGATATATTGAATTAATGAATTGATTATATAATTAATTAACTATTTCATATGATAGATCAACGAATACTGGTCCTGCGGAAGAGATGTCTATGAAGAACTTAACTAGATCTAAATCGCAACCAAGACCTAGCTTGGAGTCAAGACCACGTTGGAACGCAAATCGGTAATTAAAGAGATTTTGACCTCTCGATTGTAGTGAAAATTTTGAAAAACGATCTTGGAACGGATACCGAAATTTTCGAAGTGACTCAAGTTTTTTTTAGACCAGGCACGCGATATCGAACACAGAGCGAAAAGGATCCGCATTATCAGAGACGACTTAGACTCAGAAGACGTCAGGTAGAATCTAGCGATGAGGGATCTAGGTAATGTTTACTTTTTTATTATAAAAGAAATCTTTTTTTTTTAATTATTTCATTACATACACTCTCTATGATTTCTCGTACAGATCGCCATCGCCCGATAGAAGAAAGCCTATGAATTCAAAATTAAAAACTAGAAATTCAATGAGACGCAAAGTAAAATTGGATAGTTATGATGCGGATCTGTCAATGGACAGTTTGAATTCTGTTGTGCCACTGCGAATAGATAAAAATGGTCGTGTCCACGTTGAGTCGACGAAAGTCGAATGTGATAGTAAATTTCACAGTAACAGTGATAACAGCACGGATAAAAGTCCAACGATAAAGGAAGCCAATGAAAATATGGACAGTTGGTGCGGTCGAGAAATTTTGTCGCAGTTGACATCCCTGAGAAATGTAAAATGCTTTTAATTATTAATTGCAATCAATAACAAAATAATTAAATTAATCCGCAATGTAAAATTGATTTTCAGGGTTTACTGATGAAGAAAAAAGAATGGGATCCTCAAAGATGTATAATATCGCCAACACCAGATTTCTACTGATTCCCAAATAAACAAAAATCCTTTTTTATTTTTCCATTAAAGTAGCTAATCGTACCATTAGCGCACCAACAAGGAAGACAAGAATCATTAAACAAAAAGTAATGTAAACAAAAAATGAAATCTGTAGTTTGTTGATTTCCAGAATTGTTGAAAGACAACAATGGCCTTCCAATTGGACGATCTCCTCAAAGACGACAAGAAGGACGCTAATTTGATTCCAGATCTGAGCAAAGCCACTTGCAACTCTCAGGAAGAATTTAGAAGACTCTTGGAACGTTGTCCAGAGTACAAGATAAAGCCAGAGAAGGTATTAAAAGAAGAGACTAATCGATGAGAAATAAATGACAAATAAAATTATAAAATTTCACAGATAAAAAAAGAAGACATTAAGGTGCGCGACAAAGAATTCTCTTGGCGAGCAACAAAACGTGAACTTAGGGCGATAGAAAGAGAATGGAGTTATGGTGATCCAGTTCCACCGGATATGCGATCTTTGAACCTGAGGGAGCTTCAGCAAGTCTCAATAGATTGGCGAATGTTGACACCAATCAGACCGAAGCTACGTCAGGACGAAGATATGTTCTCCAGACTGGTACTACAGCACTTAAATAAGAAAACAATCGAATTTTCAAAATCAAATAACTCAAAGTATTAAAAAAAATTATTTTCAGATAGAAATGGGAAAGTTGCAAGCAAAGACAATGGACAAGGAAAGACGGTCGTTCGTTAGTCCAGTAAGACGCAACAAGAATCGCGCTGGAATCATTGAGAGTAGCGTGAAGATCTGCACAGAGTGCGGTGAAGAATTTTGTCTTGGCGAAGCCTGCGGCGACATTTTATATGACTCTTGTATAAGGGTCACTGTGAGCATCCAACAACCAAAGGTCAAAGTATCTGCGGACACTGCCGCCATCATAGCCAGTATGGATAGTCAGAAGCGACGTAAGAAAAAGAAAATCTCTAACAATAAGCCCAAGAAGAAAGTTAGATTATTGGTAAGGAGCAAAGCCAGGAAATCTTCAAAAAATGACACGGACACCGGAAGGAGAACAGGAAAAGAGGTAAACGACGACGAGGAAACCGGAACTACGAAGAAGAGATTTAAGAGAAAGTGCAATAAGTATTCCAAGAGCGGTAGAGTGTCGCTAAAATAATATTTCAAGATTTAACGTACTGAAAAACTAAAATCAAAATAACAAGCACCTCGCAAAATTATATGAGGCACTTTTAAAAATAATTTTTTTTTTAGAAAATCGCTTTCATAGACAAGACGACTAGAATTTGCATTGGTATCATAAACGAGAATAGTATAGATCCAGTAGAAGAAGACTGAACTGATAATAATAGTTAAAGAAGAAGTATAGTAACGTAAAATAATCATAGGACCACCAAAAAAATTTTGTAATCCAATTTTCTCGTATCTACGTATTTTATTTAATGTGCTCCAACTAATTGTTCTTCGTGTTCCCCAGAAACAAAAATTCAGAAAGACAAGTAGCAATGTAAGAAAAATAAAATACTAAAATTCGAAATAAACAAATATGAGAAAATTTTTAAAAAGAGCTAACTTACATGCACGAAAGTTCACGACGTCTTCTTAACAAACAAATATTATACTAAACATAGTTATAGATTATTATTATATTATTGTAGTATGTACAAATTGCCCTAGGCGCACCAAAAACGTTTACTTGTACATACAAGCGGGCTTAGTGAATGGCCTCAAGTAAATGCTGGAAAAATATAGTCTTTATTTAATTGTTTCTCCCCACTCTCTCTCTCTCTTTCTCTCTCTCTCTCTCTCTCTCTCTCTCTCTCTCTCTCTCTCTCTCTCTCTCTCTC